TGAGTGTCATTAAAATGTAACCAAATGAGAAATAAGAAGGAAATTTTGAAAAAGTGTCAATAATATACTTTACAGGTATCGACAAAAAAAAAACCCTAACCCTGTCAGTCAGAAGCTGACCTGTAACAGGTGGGAATTACACTAAAAACAGTGTTGCAGAGCTGAAGCCTGTCTGCTAGTGCTGTGGGATACTTATACTTTTGGTATAGTTTAGATACCAAGTATCACCAATACCAGTACTAATACCGATACTTTTGACCTATAAAGGCTTACGTGTCATGGTTTGAGATGAACCATCATCAATTTGCAACTCTGAATACATTTCACTAATTCACAGATTTGTATTTTTCACAATAATTAGTTGTATTAACCTAAATTTCAAAGTGTGCTTTGTTGTATTAACAAAAAACACTAAAAATTTTCACATATTTTAAAACTACTTTTTCTTTTTTAGTAAAATAATAGTAATTTAAAAAAAGGTTCAATACTGAACAATACTGAAGTAAGAGGCAACAAAGTATCGATCTTATTGCATTAGTATGTATCCAATATCTATACCAATACCAGCATTCTTATCGATATTATCTTTGGATCGAGCCCACCTCTGCTTTCTTCGGTTCAAAAAAGCCAAACATGATCTTATGGCAGCACGGTGGCATAATTATCTCTGTTGCCTCACACCAAGAAGGTCCTGAGTTTGCGTGTTCTCCACGTGTTTGCGTGGGTTCGGTTAATTGAGGTTAGGTTAATTGGTGATTCTAAATTACCCATAGGTGTGTATGTGACTGTGATGTCTGTGTTAGCCCTGCGTCAGCGTGCCTGGAGCCTCTCGCCCTGTGGTAGCTGGGATAGGCTCCAGTGCGCCACACGACCCTGCCAAGGATAAGCAGAAGAAAATAGATGAATGGATCTTATGACACATGTAAAGCATGTATAGAGGCATCAAGGTACTATTCCCTCATCTCCTTAGTCTTATCAAATTTAAGGAAATACAGTCTGCTGGAGCAGTTATCTTATGATATGTTACACAGATCTCACTGATCTTACATGCAAAATTAATGGCCTCCTCATATTTGTTGCTTCTGAAAACGACATCTCATAATTACAATGACACCTCAGCACTTGCAAATGTGGCTATAATGCGCTTTAAAAAATGAGGGCGCAGTGTATTTCTGCCTGTCTTTGAGCGAGTGTCGTTGTCAGGTGGTTGTAAAGTCTAATAATAGCTCAATGACACTCCTGAACAAGACACACACACACAGAAAGAAAGAGAAAAAGCTTGTGCATGACAGCAGCAGTATCAGTATCACTGCATCTGTCTCAACAGCCTCTGATATTCACCTCACTCCTGATACTCCTCACAACAAAGATGCACAAAATACAACAACTGCGATTCCCCGGGAAGGTGTCCTTGTTGAAAGGCAGAGCAAAACCAAAACAACAAAAAAAAAAAGAGCCAACAACAACAACAAGAATCCACCAGCAGGAAACAGACGCTGCTGCAGGCAAGAGTTTTCTCTCTTAGTCAAGAAGTGTCAATTAGCCTAATGGCTGCTTTAGTAAGACAAAGCGTTACACAACAGCTCGAGTGGAGAAAATAAAGCAGTAAATCCTCTCTGGGGTGCCTCGACTTGCATCCTTCTCAAATTGCTGATACACGTTCAGTGACTGTTAATCTGATAGAGTGACTGAATTCATCCTGCTCTCATTTGGATTTTCATCCCAGAGTGGAAATGCGACGTACATGTTCCACTAAACACACTGAGAGTGAACTGTGAATTAGCACTGGATGTAAAACCAGACATCATATGTGTAAATATCATTATGAGTCATTATGCACAATCTCAGGGCTCCAGCTGCACTTTTCAATTTATGTAAATTAGACCTTTATTCATGTCTGTGAATCGCAATCGTGTAGAAAATGTATGCCTGGAATATGAAAACAGATAGCACTTTCCCTTTAGATTTGCTTTGACTGCATAATCCCTAATTTACTTTCATTATATATCAACTAACTAACTAGCTAAAGACTGACTGAGGGCGAAAATGATGATGCTAATGATAGGAATTGTATAATGGAGGGGTAACACATTTTAATAAATGACTTTTAATTACAAAGGAATGAAGTATCGATGGCGACTATTCAAACGTTTGTACTTATGAAGAAACTCATCTGCTAAAGGAACGGCAAGAAAATAAAAAAGCAAACATGGGAGGGAGGAAAGGAAGGAAAGAAGGAAGGAAGGAAGGAAGGAAGGAAGAAAGAAAGAAAGAAAGAAAGAAAGAAAGAAAGAAAGAAAGAAAGGAAGAAAGAAAGAAAGAAAGAAAGAAAGAAAGAAAGAAAGAAAGAAAGAAAGAAAGAAGGCCTCTCTTCTGGTGCCGTGTACAAGCAGACAGGTTGATAAAACATGGAGGAGCCAGTAGGAAGGAGAATGGGGGAGGTTTTTGATATTTTCTTCCTGATTGTAACATCAGCAGAAGATTTTTCCTGAAATTGTCTGACAACCAAGAAAAATGTGAAAACTGCTGTCAGAACTTTATGTTACAAGGGTTTTAGTTAGCAAATGAGTTTTGTTCTGAGATGCACAGTATGACTTCAAAACAAAGGTTTGTGTGACATGTTTTCAACGTGAGTTGAATTCCAGGTGTGATTATATTAAAATAAATTCCCCGGCACGATCAGGTGGCGCGTTTACCTGCACGTCTGCACTTGCTTCCTCAAACAAATGACACAAAAGCGGCCTGACGTCGAATAGAGCTGTCGGTTTGTTACAATCTGACTCTTGCATTAAATTCAAGCAAACACAAAAAGATGACAAAAGACTAAATTGTGCCTGGAGGCGCGTTGACTAAGCAGGGAGAAATTTAAATGCCGAAAGATGAGGATGATTATTTGAAAGCAAAATGCATTTTACTCCAGTAAAAGTCAGCAGGCATTCCCCCCGAAAAGTTGCAACTCGGTCTGTTAGATTCACACAATAAAGGAAAAGAAGTGCTTCAAACTCAGAGTTTCCTGGGGTTGGACGTCCAAAGCCCCAGCTAAACCCCAGGTCACATCTAATGATTAACAGAATGCTTCATCCTAAATCCTAAATCTTTTCTGATTTTAATGAAGTATCTACACAATGCAGTGTTTTATCTATAGCTACAAGCGAAAGGAAAAAAAACTCCTTCCAGTTGTTTTTGTGGATTTGAAATCCCATTAACGAGTTATATAGTTAGCTGGTCAAGTGTCCACGCCTATGTTTGAATATCAAATTGTAGTCTCAACATGCTCCTCAGTGTGGAAAGTAGTAGTTCACAATGCCTGATGACAACTTCAGTTTTTGACAGTTTCCCAAAATCAAAATGTTCTAATTTTTTTTGAACAACACTTCTCTGATGAGTGTCAGAGGAAAGTGTCTCTGAGGGGCGTTTTGATAGCACAAACAAGACTGCATGAGTGATAACACAAAGCACACTACTCCAGTCGCTCACAATTTGCTTAAACAAGTTGCTGGAAATGCTCTTCAGTCCATATTGACAGGACAGCATCACACAGTAGCTGCAGATTTGTTGGATGTACATGGATGATGCTGGTGTCCCGTTCCACTACATCCCAAATGCTCTGTTAGATTGAGATCTGGTGTCTGTGGAGTCCATTTGAGCACAGTGAACTCACAGCTATGTTCTAGTTTGATGTGATTTGAGCTTTGGGACATCTTTTTGTGACACTTTGGTCATCCATGGCACTCAGGTAGGCTGCGGTGTTTAAACAACGCTCAGTTGGTACTAAGACACTGAAAATGTGCCAACGCCAGCAGCAGCAGCAGCAGCAGCAGACGTGTGGGCTTCTGCCACACATCTGGGCTTCTGCCACACATCTGCTTCAGAGATGCTCTTCTGCTTCTTTTTTGTAGCAGCCCTGTAATGTGAACTTTTTCTAATCGATTTCACTTTTAGATATAAGATATTGTATAAGACAAAGAGAAAACGTGTCTATAAGACAAAAGCAAATTATGCTTTGTTTTTACAATGCAGTGTATTTTATTTTTACTTGTGTGTAATCTTTGCTGTTTGTGGGGTAATAGCTTTGATTTCTTGGATATTTGGCCCATTTAAAAAGTGCAGTATTTGTTGAAATTTGCCAAACAGGGTGCACTCAGAAGCTACTGTGACGCAGATAGATGTGGGATCCGTTTTGGCTTCTTTTTCTTGTTGGATGTGTGAACATTTTCATTGACATCGCTGTCCACTGACTCACTGCTGCAAGGCTATTTACGTTTGGTTTTTTTTTGATTAGATAGAAGATTTTTTTCAAATGCCACTCCGGTCTGGTGGTAAAGAGAAGATGTGCTGCATCTCCTTTCCGAAGATGTGAATTTCACTCTTGTTACTGACAAAATTTGGGATTCATTTTTAAGTGGAAATGTGAAGAAAAAAGATAGATATAGGGCTCTCTGCTGCTCTAAACAAACTAATGACTAAAGCTGACTATGAAAGGCACACAAGTAGTTTCCAACAGTGGTGAACACGGCTACAGAAAGATGTTTGACCTTTATTTTGATAACGTGGGTTTTCAGACCACACATGCCTGCTTGAATACTGCACTCAGATGATTCATGCATGCCTGATTTTTTCTCTTTTTTTTTTTAATTTTTTAACCACTCGCCTCATACACCTGTGCAGGCTGGCTCCACACTGCTGCAGTCTCTCACCTCTCCTCACTCCGTGCGCCAGCAACACCTGGAGCAGCAACCTGGAGAGTGAGATCAAACCGGCTGAGTGGATGGTGGATGTGGAGTGGGCGGGTGGGGGGTAGTGAAGATGGGAGAGTTTGGCCCCTGCGCCTTTAAGACTGCATGTGGTCCACATCTCGCTGCTCCCATGGCAGGCTCTGTAGGTGCACGCGTTCAAAGTTTGACTGGGGAATAGAGGGAAGAGCGGAGACCGCAGCAGCGGCGGCAGCAGCAGCAGCAGCATCGCCCCGTCGGGAAACAGAAACACACACAACTGAACATCTGAGAAGAGAGAGAGGAGAGAGGAAGGACCGCAGCTCGCCGGGGAGTGTCCGACTCTGGCGAAAAGAACAAAGGCACAGATGACTGAGCGGATTTTCGCTTTCTAAATGGAAAATACAAGGAGGTTCATTTAAGTCAGTGTTCGCTAAACGGAGGGACTCCCCCCGGCCCCCCCGGCGGCTGCAGCCTCCCCCCTCTCAGCCATGCCGCTTGTATTCCGCACACTGTTGTTCGGCTTTGTAACGCTGCTGGTTGTGCTTTTGATAATTGATGATATTGCAGAAGTGGAGGAAGAAACTGCGTAAGTATCCCGCCGTGATTTATCCACGCAGTGTGTGTGAGAGAGGGAGAGGGAGGGAGAGATGATGCCCATTGTTTTCTTACCCAGCAGGTTATTTCCTTCAGGCTTTCTCAGAAGATTTGAGGTGCGATGTGTGATGTGAGGGGAGGGAAAAGGGGGCTGACTGAGTGGAATAAATGAGTTTATTTGAATTGAAATGAAGTTCGGAGTTTGGGGTGCCGGAGTGTGCGCGGTTTGTTTTCTACATTTGTAACACTTGGGTGCAGCAGGAGCAGCTGTTCCTACAGCAGCCCGCCTGCCTGGGTCTCCAAGGATTAGGCTATTTGTCTTGCAGCAGGCTGCATGCGGGATAGGATACATTTACACTATAAGAGAGAGGGGGGAGAGAAAGAGAGAAGGGGG